GAAAATTGTGGGTCAAACGTCAGGAGAAAATTGTGGATTAAAATTGAAGGTCAAACGCCAGGGGAAAATTGTGGGTCAAAATTGAAGGTCAAACGTCAGGAGAAAATTGTGGATTAAAATTGAAGGTCAAACGTCACGGGAAAATTGTGGGTGAAAATTGAAGGAAAAATTGGAGATCAAAAGTTGGAAAACGATATATTCGAAAGCGAATTGTTAGTTCATTCGGCAAAACAACTAGTGCAGAAAGAATAAAACAAAAACAATAACCCACTTATTTTTTTGAATACCCACATATGGAGAATTGCCGTGGAAAGTTGAATTTTTAAGATTTTACGTTGAAATTATCTCCCACGAACGAGAAAGGGTTCAGACCCGATTATCTCGTTCTGTCACGCATTCTCCAACGACTTCTACTGAACTCCGGAGAATCCCCAGAAAAGGTGACTATTGAGAGAATGATTCATGGATTCCGAGTCAATTCTTTCCGAAGACACGTTTGCTGAGTGATAATACCGTTAATATTCTAAACAGAATTCAAGTGTTCTGTGGCAATTGATAAAACAAACTCAAAAAAAATATCCACGTAATCCGTTGAGGCGAAGAAAGGGCGTAATAAGTCGATTATGAAAAAAATATTTATTGAACTCTTTCCGTACTCTAGTACCACATGGCTGAGTGACTCCACTGGAAAATTGTGATAAGAGAATTATCGTCACGACTCATTGATTTTTACTGGAATTTTTTCACTAAATCGCATCGAAAAAAAAAATCACAATCATCAGTTGAAAATAATGTTATGCCATCACTTCTCAAAACGTCGCACTGAATATTCTCTGAGTGATCGATATTTGCGAAATGTTTATTAAGCAATAATAATACCATCACTCTTTAATTTTTCAGAAATGAATTGTTAACTATTTCCTTTCACTTCTTGTACACTTCTTTGTAAACCAACTCTTGTATTTGCATCCTCAACAGCATCTGTCGCTCTCCACACAATTTCTGAATGTGAGGTAATAAACTCATGAGAAAGTGGTAATTATCGTCTAATTGGCCATTCATTTCCAGGGGATTAATTAAGGATGTTCTGTTGGCACTCTCACTGCTGGCATTTTGCTGAGGATTTGCTCCCAGACTTTCAATCACATCAGCTTCTTCGCAATTCGTCAAGTTCTCTGGGAAGTTCTCTTCAATGTTCACTTGCACCACGTCACTCGCCTGAACATCCTCAGCCATGAATCCAGGTTCCTCCTTGACACTGACGAAATTAACTTCCTCGACATTGTCTTCGGGGGTCTCAACAGGTGGTGGTACAGCAGTTCTGATCGTCTTCATCTTCTCTATTCTCTTCTTCAGGGTAGTGAAAGGACGGTAGGCCAGGGTGGGAGGATCAGACGATTTATCTCTAGTTGAAGGACGAGGGGGATCCCAAATCGGTGGCGATGGCAGCATCTGCTCCTTCAGGAACAGAAGATCCTTGTAATGCCTCCAGGTTGGACAGCTCTTCGAATTTTTTGTTCTCCTGTAGATTATGTCTTTCTTCATCTCGCATCTGAAGGTGTCTCTGAGGCCTTTCCATCGAACCTTCAGGTACGGCTCTGCAATATTAAGAAAAAACGAAAGTCGATTAACCGATCTTCGAGTTACGAGTTCGGTGGGACGAGTTAATCGTTCAACTTCAAGTTTTCAATGATCATCTGCATTCATCAGACATTCCATTTCTCCAACACAAATCGACAATTTCTATTTTCTCTTCTGTCACTCATATCTCAATAAAAACATAAATAAATACTTAACTGATTAATTTTAATAACCGATACATAAATAAATACTTAACTGATTAATTTTAATAACCGATACATAAATAAATACT